AAGTGCAGGTATGCTAGCGTCGGGTCGGCACACGTGGAGAGGATGCGGTCGTAGAGCTTGTACACCTCCGTCCCTGGCAGCATTTCGCTCGTTAGCTCGAGCATGAGCTGAAGTTGATCACGGGGATCATGGTTTCGATCGTCGATGGAACTTCATCATCGTAGATGCAACAATAAAACGTCTCCCCGCTCGGCTCGCCAGCCGTGCAAGTTGATCGGTCGATGGCTGTGGGAAATCTGGATGGCGACTTCCTAGCTCTCTGAACGAGTGCTGCAAGAAAACGTATATGTCATTGTCAACATCTGCGCCATCTAATGAGATGGTCGCAGCAACGCCTTTTCCTGAAGTCTTCACTGGTATCTCGCACAGCAGCGGGCGCATCTCTTCGGTCTGCATGGCTTTCCGGATATGCTCTTCCGAGCGACTCGTGAGCAGAATGTGGACGATGGGAAGATCAGGTTCAGAAAGAGCTTCGCCAAGCAGGGATATGAGATCAGTAAGCTCGCTTTCAGAGGTGGGTTCATCAAGTGATTCAGATTCGAGTGAGAGTGATTCGGGCGTGCATTCGTCAAGGGCATCGATAGCAAACACCAAAGGCGGACAATTGCGAAGTCTGAGTGTAAGCTTCCGGAGAGGTCGGAGAAACAACGCCTCCATCTGATCCCGAAGAGACTTGTCAGGATCTAGAAGGGCGGGGTTTTCAATGATAGCTCTGTTCACGTCCCCTCGGACGCTGGGAAAATTACTGGCAAGCTGATAGGCAAGGGTCGCAAAGAAATAGCCGGTAGTACGGCGTTTCGTGTGCTTGCGGGAGAAAAGAAGATTCCCCCGAGCCGTTTTTCAACTTTCGTCTCTTCTGTCATTTTCAGACCTCTCATCTTTTCAGCTACAGTGAACGCAACAGCAGACTTTCCGACGCCCGCTGTGCCGTGCAGCCAGATAAGTCGATTCTTATCTGTCTTGTCTAAGAACCCATAGATGTAGTTGAGGAGGTCCACCCGGGTTCCTTTTAGACATTTTGGATGGGGCTGGCGTTCACGGGAGTCATATTCAGCACCCTTGACAGCAACCTGGGAAAGCTTCTCCCAAGTTCCTTCGATTGATCGAGCTGTTGAGGAGGTTAGAATGCGAAAGAGATAAGAGATGTGAATACTGACATTGATCCTGGTAACTCATGATGAAAGGTTGATGATAAGACACAATTGGCGAGTTTTGGAATAGAAAGATCAGCACTGGTGTTCAAGAATCAACAGTGTGGTTAGATTAGACATCATATAGGTTATCTCGAGGAACTTCAGACGTACGAAAACGTAAATCGAAAAAGTCTAAGCTGCAACTTGAGGGAAGGCGGAAAGGACAAGTCGTGAAACCAGGAGTTTATGCTACGGTGACGATCTGAGCAAGGATGAAGCTGTGAAGCAACTTGCTGTGTAACGGTATTCAACGGAAATTGATTCTAGCAAGTACTTGCTGTGCATGCTACGGTCACGTGGGGTACAGTCAGCGCTGGAGCCCTCAATTGCCAACTCAGTACCGTATATCAGTACTCAGGTACTCAGCTGGCCCTACTGCCGTCAGGAAGCAAGTGTAAGCATGCACTTTTCAATTTACAGAACGGCCATCATACTGCTTTCCGCAAGCTTCTATGCATTAACTCCGTGCTGTCCCCTCCTTGCGTTTTCCAAGCCTTCTCCTTGCTAACCTAATGTGATCTAGAGTGACAAGTGCAAGGCATACATGGCGCAGAGGCTGGAGTTCTACCATGATTTAAGGACGAGAATTCCAACTGTCACAACAGAACAGCAGCATTCCTCTTCTCCAATTCCTCAACACTCACCAACTACCTACTCCCAATACCAACATGACTGACGTTCTTGGTGTTCTCATCATCGCCCGTAATGGTGACCGCACAGAGTACTACCAGGACCCTGTGACCTATGAGAGCTCCTACACCGAAAGCACTGCTCTTGGTGTTGTAAGTCACTGGCATGCGGCTTGTAACTTCCCTAGCTAATGCAGCATGCACTACAGGTCCAGTCTCACCAGCTCGGATCCTTCCTTCGCTCGACCTACATGTCCTCGTCTTCTCCTTCATACATCGCGAACATGAAAACCGACCTCGTAGACACCCATGAGGTCCACGTCCATGCCAAGGCTGGCGGTGAGGGTGCTGTCATCTTTGACTCTGCTGTCGCTCTCCTCCAGGGTCTTTTCCCTCCCAACCCTGCCAACAAGATTGTTCTTGCCAACGAGACCACTGTCGTTGCTCCCCTTGGCGGTTACCAGTACGTTCCCATCGAGACCGTCGATCCCGGTAACGACAGGTCCCTTGAGCCATGGATTGACTGTCCGGTAAGCAATACAAAGATTCAAACCTGGGGAACCGCGACCTCACCATGACCTGCAGGCTTTTGAGCAACACATCGCCAAGGTGTACTCGTCTTCTGAGTTCAAGGCAACCGCAAAGGCTGCTGGTCCTTTCTTCGGTGCTGTTAGGGACTACGTTTTCGGCCGCCCTACTACTCTTGAGAACGCTGTAGGTTACGTCTCTCATTCTTTGATACAAATGCTGATTACCTCTGTGATTTAGTGGAATGTGTGTCGCCATCTAACTTAGATTACTGATGTCGTGCTGAACTTCTTCTAGATTTACGACTACATCTCGACTGGGCACTCTCACAACAAGACCTATGCTCACCGCCTTCTCCCCACCTTGGTTGAGCAGGCTCGTGGTTTTGCTGACTTCCACGAGAATGCCATCTTCTCGGACAAGCACGTCGGTGGTATTGGTAACTGTGAGCTAATTTCAATTCACGTACGCTGTCCACCACTAATCTTATTTTCTTCAGTGGCTGGCCGCACGATCCTCCACACGGTCTTGAACTCCCTCCAGCGGATTGCATTCAACGGCGACCCTCTACAGTTCCTCCTCGTTGAGACCTCCTACCAACCGTTTATCTCCCTATTCCACATGCTTGAGATGATTAAGGAGAACCCTGAGCTTGCCGGTATCCGTGCGTATGATCTCACTTCAATGCATTTAGCCGATTAGCTCAAAGACTACAGCGAACTATGCTTCTGCTCTCGCCTTCGAGCTCCGTCGCGGACCTCCCCCTGAAGACCGCGACTTCGTCAGGATCAAGTTCAAGAACGGCACCCGCGGCGACTTCGAGACCTACCACGCTTTCGGCCACAAGTCTGACATTGCTGCAACGGAATTCATCTACAGGATCGAGGTAGGCACCTGCGCTAGTTTTTTTTTCAAATTGCTCTTACTTAATACCACTGTTCTAGAACTACGCCATTACCAGCCAGAAGCAATGGGCCGCTGCTTGCAGCTCAGGTCTTACTGATGACTGGGTCCACAATGGCTCCCAGAACGCGATCTCCAGCACTGTCTTTGCCATTCTGGCTGCTGTTTTCCTCTTCGGCATGTTCATCCTCTCCAAATTCATCAAGAACGCCCGTGCCAAGGCTCAGAACTCTCGTATCCGCCTTGCTGACGACGAGGTGAGTCAGTTCCACTTACTTCAGAGCCAGTACCCGGATTATGGAACCCTTTCCAACGTCGGTCCTGGTATCGTGCCCGTTCTGACAAATTGTCATTTCCTCTTTCTTGTTTACGACAGAACATCGTCGCTCAGCCCGCTTCCATGAGCGAGAAGCAGCGCCTTCCCCTGTAAACGCCGGTCTAGTAGGAGTCGGAGAGGTTGAAAAAAATCTTCACTGCATGCTTCAGCAGGGTGGGTGTCTTGTTTGATTAGTATTTGGACCGCATCAGATTGCTTCATAGACTCTTGCCGCATTTTTTCTTCTCGTTTGCAATGACTGCTGTATAGTTTATTATATAGGTTTGGGTCCCCATAATTATGAAAATTCACGCATTTTCTCGGATCTTTGCATCGCCTGCTGTGACATTGTGGATCGGCTTGGCGATGGTATAAGGTCAAGGCAAACCATTAGGTCGCAGGGAATGCAAGAAAGGCTGTTCTGGAACTTCTGTTGATTCACCGCTCAGCATGCACAACATCTGGACATCGATTACTATGAAGCGCAACCTCCGAGTCGCAAGAATTCCCTGCACCGATGCGAATCACTGGGCCTGACTCAAGACCCACTCTTATGTGGTCCAACGTTCAAGCGCTCATCGACGGATTTATCCATAGTAAGCGCTAGACTGGCGACCATATCAGCCGTGTTTAAGTTGGCGCGGAGACATGTTAATTGTCACGGTGTAGTGATAGACCGAACAAATTTTATGCCTGTCCTCCCTCTGAGTGGGTCTGGCTAGGTCCGCTTGGTTGAAGAGACTGCGTACAGCCCTCGTCAGGGGATAGCATTGACATATTAGCTCAAGATGTTTGGCTCGCTGCCAACCGATGCCATAGACCTGTACAAAACGTCGTCAATCAACGAATTACGGAGGAACCTATTACCCATTTCAAGTACGCTAGTGGCCTCATGAGCTGATGGATCAGTGAGCTGTACATTACAAGATAATAACGGAAGCTTTGTCAAGAATTAGTACGCCACACAGCAAGGCGTATTGGTTCCGCGGCATCAAACGTTCCATCCTTACAATATGTAGATAACGGAAGTTTTGTCAAGAACTACGCCACACAGCAAGGTGTATCTTTCTGAAAAACTTGTCCAAATTCCTATGAAGGCGTCTCCAAAGCTTCATAATCATCCACAAATTTGCTCATCAATATAGTCACAGTGAACCAGTATTGTGGCACGATACGCCCAAGCGATTCAAGCCGGCATAACATCATACGCAGCACCTCCGACCGGGTATCAAGGCCACGCTGATAGACATGAGGTACTACATTGCTGTGTAACTTTTAGGTCCGTGTGTTTCAAGCTGTTTCAGAAGGCTTGTAAAACGCTTTCGCTGCAGGATGTACAAAGGGAAGGCTTTATTAGGTTATAATTACAAATTCGAAGTCTAACGGACACAATTTTCATATTGTTCCTTCCTATTTCGGCCAGCAACTTTGTATCAACCGAATTCCCCGACCAGGCCCAATTTGAACTTTCTCGTGGACACTGGTAGTGAGTAAATTTCTCGCAGCCATAGATGTCTGCCACAGCACGCAGTACTGCGATCGCGCAACCGAATGGAACAATAAATACCCGTGGACTACATTTGCTCAGATGCGCTGGCATATCTCCGCTGTGGACAATGTGCGCCGCAGTGACTGTGGACCCTTGGCGTTCAACACCCTTTTTGTCCCAGACCACAGTCCACATATGGATCATCACTGGTTTATAAGGTGCGCCTCAACGAGAATTTGTGCATCATCCAACCAGCTTCACACCCTTCTTTCCCATCATGCAAGCCACTTCTCCATTTCCGTTTGCAAATCTTTCCACGGAGCTCATCCTCCTCACCTTTGCACACGCTGCAAGACCTACTTTCGTCGAAACTAGCGACGATGCGTCGCAGAATCCATATGCATCTGCCCTCTCACTATGCCACGTCTCCAAAATCGTCAGACGCACCGTTCTTCCTGAACTTCTGCGCACAGTGTTGCTCCCGGAATATACCAACGTCACGGCTTTCGTCCGTGCTCTGCGCATGCAGCAAGCATTCGCTCTAGAAGGAAATGACCTCCGTTTCGATTACGCTGGTCGCGTAGACAGGATTTGGTTTGGACGAATCTGCGAACCTCCCCCACAAGCTCCCGTGCAGAGCAACTTTGCCTCATCTATCACGTCTGAGCTTGACGCCGACTTCAGCCTACTGGCGCCGGTGCTGCTATCCGCACCCTCCCTCGCACTAGACTTTGAAAGTCTGTGGCTTCTTTATGGCTGCCTCGAGTACGCATGGAACTCCCACATCCACAACAATGACCTAGAACGTGTCCCTCCTCCTTGGCGCACCAACAATTTGACGTTAGTGGGGGAATTTAATCGATGGCGCCCTCTCACAAGCACTACCGAGGGATCCGCTTTCCTCGCCTCAATTTCACGCCTCTCCTTCCTCTCCCCCGCGAGAGCAGAAACTCATCTACTCCCTACCTATGATCCCTGCTTCGACGACTTGGAACATCGGAAATACCCACTCCCTGAGTGGATGGCAAGCGTCCCATGGAATTCGTTCAAACGCCTTCGAACAGTTTCGCTGGTGCTGCCGCGAATCGTGCTCACGGTCGCTGCGAAGACGAAGTCTGAGCGAGGAAAACGTGGATGTTGAACTGTTGACGTTGTTCGATCCCCCACACTCGGCCTACTGGGAACCCAAGGACATAAGCGCTTACATCGAGAGTGGGGAAGGGCATATCGTGTCCGTCGGTGTTCGGACTAAGTTGGGAGATTCTCCCATCCAGTTCAGTGTTTCCTTTGATTGGGAGGAAGCTTGGGCATGTGGCCTGCTTAAATAGCGCTCGAGGAAGTTGTTCTCATCTGTATTGGTTGATTTTTCACATGGTTCACACGTAGCCTCTTTCCATGATGACAGCTCCAGTTGTTTTCGTTCATTATCCCTAGCTTCCCTGCTTCGTTTACTTTCAAAATCGTGCTTGTGTTGGGGGTACTGGTCTGCTTCCAGCCAGCGGTTTTGCTGAAGGTTATTTGTAATGTTCTTAATAACAATTTTCAAGTCATTCATCATCGGAGCTACTCTACAAAATCCATGGACAAGCATGTTCTAGACCAAAGTATACCTCCACCTCGTAAGGGGCCTGTGAGTCGAATCGATGGCATGCCAGTGGCTGGCCCTGTGACGCCTACCAAAGACCCAATCATAACTCACGGATTGGTGTACTGTGGGATGATATATATCAGTTGTGAGACGCCCGCAGTAGTACCAATCATTATGTTTCCCAACTATTAGGGTCCGGCCCTGCTGACTTTCACCTTGCCTCGTGGCACGCGGCCTTATGTTCTGCACTTCTATTTTATTGCGAAGGTACTAGGGCCTAGGGTCTGTTGGGATATCCGTTGTAATGCAACGGCTCAGGCCTCAGGCCTCAGGGTCCATGTTCTGAATGTGACGGGCCTGCAGGAATGCCAGGAATCCAGAACCGAGGCTTATAGAAACCGATTCGGGTTAGGCGTGTGAACCTTCTCTTACCTTCTACTACAGTTGTCTATGTAATAATCTTGTAGCAATCCTCCCATGTCAATGATTCGTGACCCGGTCTGCGTAGAGAGTCCAGACTACTTATAATTATGTATGCACTTGGCATAATCTGAAATGAAATGACCCCGGACAAACAAAGATTTAATGGAAGTCGACGTTCAATTTTCCCATGAAGATGTTGATGTACTAGTAGTACTAGCATGTGTTATGGCTCTCGTTAATGATTAATCTGAGTCGGTTATTGTGTTGTGTATAACCATTCCGCCTACAACAAATATTCATACTATGACCTGTCTTTGTACCATCGATTTTCAACGTTCCCTGCTATTTCTTGCCCCTCTCGAGTAGCATGAGCAGTAGGGCCAACTGACGTGGCAAAGCCAAGTTTGCTTGCGGGAACTTCGGTTTTCACAGAGTTTCAATTCATTTATATTTAGTACGCTTGTGCTTGCCAGATACACACCAGTCCTATACCATCTATGAGTGGCGCTCACCCCGACACATTCGGCTCTAATCAGGTAAGGTGAGGAGCTCTCGACTATTGACAGCGAGATTGAGCTAGTCCGTAAGCTCATATCAAGTTGTGGACAACTGTGGTATTAAGGCAGTTTCGTCTGACGCGAGCACGGTCCACATAAGTATGACGCCTAGACAGTATCTCCAGCGTTATGATTTTCCTGCTGATGCCTGCTGATGGTGAATGCCAAGGTTCATCCTCAGCCTGGAGTTGAGGGGAAATCAGTAGTAACTTACTACGTCCGAATCGCGAAGTAGTCGGATAATCTTGACCATGAACTGGGGCCGAAGAGCGTTAGTCAGTTATATTCCCGAGACTTGCGGAGTACAGTAATGGGTCGAGTAGATGACCAGTACCAAGTATTGATTATATGGATTCTTTGAAAGCACCGAAGATGAACTATTGACGAGAGTGCCGAAGTGACGTACGTTCAACGGCGCATACGAGCTGTTGATCTGTCAGTTCTCTGACGTATTGACGGATTTTACAAATGTCTGACTGATATTCCTGGTGAACGATGGGATGAGATAAAAGCCACAGCCAGGGCAGGGAAACTATCATTTCATCAACGAGCTACAATGTCCTCTCCCAAAGTCTGGTTCAGTAAGTGTTTCCTCTACTCACTTGTAATTCGACCGATACTAAGCACCACGCACAGTAACGGGGGCGTCCTCAGGATTCGGAAGATCTATGACAGAGTACGCGCTCAATCAAGGCGACATCGTAGTAGCAACCCTCCGTAAACCACAGGTCCTATCAGATCTCGCAGCACGATACTCAGCAGACAAGCTCCTCGTGCTCAAAGTCGACGTCACGAAGCAAGAAGACATCGACGAAGCATTTGCGCGCACGCGTTCGGCGTTCGGACGGCTGGACGTAGTGTTCAACAATGCGGGATATGGAATTATCACAGAAATCGAAGGCACGCCTGATGATAAAGCGCGTGAGCTTTTCGATACAAATTTCTGGGGCGCGACAAACGTCAGTCGTGCTGCGGTGAAATTTTTTAGGGAGGTCAATGAAGCGGGCAAGGGAGGGACGATTCTTCAGCTCAGTTCGGTTGCTGGGTTTAATGCGCTCCCTGGGTTGAGTTATTACGCTGCGACGTGAGTGCGGTTTGAATTTGATGTTGGTTGAGATGATACTGATGGGTTTGCAGCAAACATGGTAGGAATCTGGATGCGTGTAGAATGGAAAGTGCTGATGATGTATTTGATGTACAGCGCTGGAGGGGTTCTCAGATGGTCTTGCGAAAGAGCTGCCGGCTTCCTGGAACATAAATGCACGTTGTTCTCTTCACCAATAAATTTCTACTCACGACAAAAAAACAGATCTGCATTATCGAACCCGGGGCATTCCACACAAACGGAATGAAAGGGGCAGTGGTATTACCGCAGCATCCAGCATACGCCGACAAGTCTTTTGCGGGTTCCGTGTTGCGTCAGATGCTAGAGGGCGTAGTCTTCGGAGGAGACGCGGACAAATTCACACGCACTGTGTACGAGGTCGTACAGGGAGGAAATATACCGAAGCGGTTGCCTATGGGTTTGGACGCGTTTGAGATGCTGAATCTTAGGATTGAGAATTTGAAGATGACTGTGGATGAGACGAAGGCGTGGTCGGCGGATTTGAAGAGAGCTGATGGGGGAGTCGAAATCATCGTACCTGTCTAACTTGAAGTAGTTTTAGTGTTTGAGTTGTGTATATGTGATCGTGACATGTGACGAAAGCTTCTATATTGATTCCATGTTGCCATGAAAAAACACGTGATTCTGCCATCTGCCACACTGGCAGAACATGGTTCTGCTAGAACTGCCTCAAAATAGTTCTGCCCACAACACTAGAACTCATGGTTCTCGCTAACTGAGTCGGTTATTGTGTCTACACGTAACCCACTCTTAACTTTTTAAAATCACTGTGCAGTGTCTTATTACTATCTCGTTGTCTACGAAGAGAGGGTGATGAGATGGGGAGCAGAGGAGATGGATAGGTAGAGTGAGGAGGGCTTAAGGAGGAGGAACTTGAAGTGTATCATATCATGCCAAACGCGGACCCCCATAGGGCGCTGCATCTTAATCACAGTTTCCTTTGTTTGTTGCGGTATACAAGTACCTAGTGGTATCCACGCCCAGAGGTCGCCGTTACGGTTAAGTATGCGAAATGTAACGACCGCGAACCGAAGATCCACATTCAATTGACAAGAAGTAACACTCATGTCCAGCTTTACAGCCACCACTTTGCGTAGTGCGCTGCGCCACTGCGAGACTGCTTGGCTTTTCACAGGATCCGATTTCAAAACACTAATTTTTCCAGTGGTATTAATGTTCATTCCGTCAACGACTACTACCGCACGACACTGATTTTTGTGGTAGATCGTATTTGCAACCGTTGTATCTCCTCGTCCTGAGCCGCTAGCCTTGGCATGCACTGTGTGCTGGCTCTGGTTCCATCTCTTCCAATTCAACGTCTCTAACCAACCCTTCTCTGCTGATGAGGATATCGTGAATAAACCTTGGCGTCCTTTGCCGTCTGGGCGCATTAGCGTCGAGGATTCTCGTACCTTGCGCTGGACTCTCCTGGTTTTCTGCTTGGGCCTTTCATCCATTTTCAGCTTAAATCTGTTCATAACTAGCGGGGTGTTCACTGTGCTTATGATCCTTCACGACAATCTTCGCCACGGTCACCATCCCATTTTCAGAAATTTATGCAATGTAGCGGCTTATGTGACTGCTGGAGTCGGTTGTTCGTTGATTCTATGTAAGTCACATTCAGCCTCTCAGGGTAATATTTCGTTGAATAGATTTATATTCTAGCAGGAGAATCTTCGCTTGACGGAACGAGCATAAAAGCGATCTCCTGTAGCGCGCTTGTCATCCTTCTGACAATTCATGCGCAGGATGTTGCTAACGTCAATGGCGATGAATTCTGCTGATTGTGGCACCCGAAGGATCTCGCATCTATATGTTTTGTGTGCTTTCGCTACTTTCCTTAACTCATTTTCGAGCCTGGGGCTTCGTTGCAGCATTTTCTTTGTCTATCGGTTATTGGGTCGGACTACGCTACTTTCTCCTTCACGACGGGATTCGTGACCAGTCAAACTACCACCAGTATAACGTTCGTATGCTTTCATATTGCCTTGTCTGTAACCTAATGTCTGTTGTTCCCTGTAGATATGGCTCATGGATGCTCGTCTCTTGCCAGAGAATGGGCTTTTCCCTGTGTTGGCATGGTAGTATTGCCTTGTTGCGCCAGGATCATGGACTCCGGCGGTCATTGGGCGTCTGTATCCAGTGAGCGGAAAGGAGCCACATTGACTGCACATACGACACGAGCAATCATTCTGGACCTTGGTGCTTCCCACATCCCTTACAGGCCACTAAAAATTTCCTACCAGCTATAGTTTATTCGCTTGTAATGCGTTCCCAAAGTCCGACAAACGTTCCTTACTCCTTACTTCTACACGTACACAAGAACACAAGAGCTCATCACTCTATTCCTCTAATTCTGACTTTTTGCATCGTAAGATCAACCACTTGATAATGCACTGTCGTTTCGTTCGTTTCGTTTCTGGGTCGAATCTGGATGGCCTCTGACAGGCATAATCAAAAATTGAGGGTACCACTTGGAGAACGCAAACACTCATACTAAGAGTGGGGAAGGGCGTGTTCAATGTCAGTAACTAACCCTTAACTGATACTGCGGTAGTATTCCAACTCCGAATTCCGGACCATCAAGAGCTCCTCGATCGTAGGCATGGATCCATGATATGACAGTGCACTACGTGTTGATAAAATCTCAGTAATCTGTGCGTGTATCCGCATCCAGATTACAATATGACCGGAGACAACAGGGTTTATAAGCGTTAGGCGTACTGGAATGGCAGATGTCGACTTCGCCAGCCTTCATGGCATCACCGAGGGCTTCGGGCTACTTCCAGCACTAGTTTCTCCGTGGACGGAAAATGGGTCGCTCGATACCTACCTGTCACCTGAAACAGGGACATATTATTTCCAAAGCCGACAAACTGAGAATGGTACGCACCGTATCTCGCAAAACAGGACAAGTCCTGATGGGTCTTCATTCAAGACAGATTGCAGCCGGCCTCGATTACTGTACATCTATATTTTTTCAGTGTTTGGATCAGACGTGCTCATAAACTTGTTAGTGCATGGCAGAGGGATGGTTCATGGCGATTTGACATCTGTACGTGTGAAAAATTTGCATCTATGATATTTCAGGATGACAACTCGACAATCTACAGACCAATGTTCTGATTAACGACGACGGGAACCTCTGTCTTGCATACTTCGGTCTCTCGATGATCCTTATAGAAGCACAAAACTCTCCCTTCGATGACTGCCACCCAGGTCATGTGCGATGGATGGCACCCGAGATGCTCGCTATACCTGAACAAGGAGGAGTGGTGATGCCCACCAAAGCCGCAGATGTTTACTCATATGGTTGCATCATGCTTCAGGTGTGTAGACTCCCATTCGATTCCATGTAAGTTAAGTTGCTGATATTGTGCAGCTGTTGTGCGAACATGTGCCTTATCGTTGGCTAATGCAACCGTTTCATGTTATTGTAGCAAGAGTCTCAGGAATAGAGCCCTTCCGTCAAATCACTGGTGTTAAAGAGGCACACAGGGAGTATTGATTGAAATGTTTATCTGTTAACCCCGAAGATCGACCAGAGGCCTTTGAGATCGTGAAGTTCTTCAAAGTAGAATAATGGATAGACTAGTCAAGGACACTATCATGATGTACTCGGATGCATCTGCCCAAATTTCTGCTGCCTTGCAGACTTTTAAAGTTACAAGAATCTGTACTTGAGGGATGCTAGTAGGCCTCGCATGGACGCCAGCTCAGGTATGGGCCGTCACATCAGTGAGTTCATGAGCAATGCTGTTACGCGGAAATTGAGCGGGCCTACTTGTTCCACGTCATGGGGTCCTAGATCTGGCCAGAGTTCATGATAACCTGTTATCATTCGGATCTTACGTGAGGGTGTCCGCGGACTTTCTTTTTTGCTCACTGAGTACTGAGGGTTTGAAATCGTTCGCAGGAACCGAGAAAGATTCAAATGGTAACCATCTTCACCACGGTGACCTTTTTGCTCGTTGGCTCGGGCTTGGACACTCGGACACTCAGACACTCGGACAAATATGTTAGCCATCACAGTGAGCTATCAATGCTGTGGTAGAACTTTTTTATTTTGTCAATTTTTTGTTGCAATTTGTGTCCTTTCAGAGCAGCTCTATGTAGGACATTACGATCTAGTCTAGGGGCCCCCGGTGCCCTGTTCGCACCTCTGAATCCGCGAATGCCCTGGTGTAAGGCGTACCCCACCAGTCCGCCGTTCCTGCTGGCCGTTTTAGACGCGCGATTTCACAGAACTTGATCGACTTTCGGTAGTGCGAGCATTCCTCATCGCGGTACACATCGAAATGTTTCTATGTTGCGATCGAGCTAGCGAGGGGATATCCAGACACAATGTGGCTCCGTGCTGTACCTTTCGTAAGCTTGTCTTCCATCATGCTTTCGCCACAAACCACAAAATGATATTCAATAGAGCGCTTATTGAGGCCTAAGGGCTGGCAATTAATTCATGCATGACAGCTCCCGGGCCCACCTTCAAATGGACCCAGATATAGCTTGCGGTCAACTATACACCACTCTACCGAGAGTGACGCCTTTAGGAGTCGAAGCAACCTGCCTACTCGCATCATTAAAACAAACGACGTACTTCCATATGCCGAGGAATGTTATCGTCATCACTCGCATATTGCGAACTGTAATTGCTCTACACCGGCAGCTTGGATAATGTCCTCCCAAAGTATTACTTGAACGAGGCCAGGATGATCGCGAACATCCATGCCTGCCGGCCACCGGTCACTGCTCATGTGAAATGGAATAACCGGAAGCGAGAATTCAACCTGGCCGTTGTTCGAACTGTATAATGCTGGGTAATAGGCCCATGTCTGCCGGTCATCGCTCATGCGAAATGGAACGACGGGAACCAAAAATTCAGCCTGGCCGTCCTTTCAAGCTATATAATGATGTTAGATAGCAAAAAGACTCCAAATACCAATGTCCCACTTCGCAGCGACCACTTTGCGCTGTGCGCTGCATCACTTCGAGACTGCTTGGCTTTTCACAAGATCTGACTTCAAGACAACAATTTTCCCCGTGGTATTCATTCCCGCAACAACTTTTACTGCACGACGCTGAATTTTTGTGGTAGATGATATTTGCAACTGTTGTATCTCCTCGCCATAGCCCGCTAGGCCTATCTTGCGCTCTCTGCTGGCTTTGGTTCCATCTCTTTCAATTCAATGCGTCTAACCAATCCTACTCTGCCGATGAAGATGTCTTGAACAAACCATGGCGTCCTGTGGCGTCCGGGCGCATTAGCGTCGAGAATTCTCGTACCTTGCGCTGGGCACTCTTGGTTTTCTGCCTGGGCCTTTCATTCCATTTTCAGCTTAAATCTTGTTCATAACTAGTGCGGTTTACACCGTGTTCATGGTCATGCATGACGATGTTCATCTCGGTCACCATCCCATTTTCAAGAATTTGTGCAACGCAGGAGGTTATATGACAAGTGAACTCGGTTCTTTGTTGATTCTGTGTAGGCCATTCTCCATCTGAGGGATAATATTTCGTTGACAAGATCTATATTCTAGCAAGGGAATTTTCACTCGACGGAACGAGCATAAAAGCACTTTTCTGCAGCGGGCTTGTCATACTTCTGACAATCCATGCGCAAGATTTTGCCGACGTCGATGGTGATCGCATGTCAGGACGACGAACATTGCCGATTATAACGCCCAAAGGATCTCGTATCTACATGCTTTGTGTACTTCCGCTCTTTTCTTTCGCGCTTGCATCATTTTGGAGTTTGGGGCCTCTTTCCACCGTTCTTTTTGTTTTTATGGGGTCTTGGGTCGGAATTCGCTACTTTATCTTCCGCGACGAGATTTGTGACCAGTCAACCTACCGCCTGTATAACGTTCGTATTTCTATTCACATTTCCTTGTCTATTACCTAGCATTTATCATTCCCTACAGATATGGCTCATAGGCGTTCATCTTTTGCCAGCTAATGTGCGTTTTTGTGCATTGGCGTGGTAGTACCCTCGTTGCGTCATGACCATGGTGGGGGAAGCATTCTAGATGACTTCCCTCACAAAACTGTCATTTGACTCGGAGGAAATATCGGTGATATTGCTAATAGCATGGCATAGGCGCTACTAGTATAATAGATGTGAACTCAATTTAGGCATCCGTTTTACATGCTCAATCTGCTTTTTTAATTGCTCAAGCGTAGGCCTTAGCACTTGCGGCCATAGTAGGATGTATCATGCAGGAGTACCAAAAACGCCGTCGACAAAGGCGTTGCCAGATGCGTTTAAGCGCTCAAGTGCTCAAGTATACTGGGGCCGTCACATCAGTGGGGCCTCTCTGCAGCACTTTCCTTGTTTCTATCGGTTTTGGGGTCGGACTTCGCTACTTTCTCTTTCGCGACGAGATTTGTGACCAGTCAAACTACCGCATGTATAACGTTCGTATATTTGATTCATATGATCTTGTATATGACCTAGCGTTTGTTGTTCCCCGTCAAGGTAGATATGGCTCATGGGCGTTTTCCTGCATTGGCATGGTAATGCGTTCCCAAAGTTCCACAAACGTTCCTTACTTCTACCCGTACACAAGAGCTCATCACTCCATTCCTCTAATTCTGACTTGTTGCATCGTAAGATCAACCACTTGATAAAGCACTGTCGTTTCGTTCGTTTCGTTTTTGGGTCGAGTCTGTATGGCCTCTGATAATATGACAGTCAAACAAAAATTGAGGGTACCACATGAACACAAACGCTCGTGCTGAGAGTGGGGAATGAAGGGCGTGTTTCGTCAGTTGGTGCTCGTGCCAAGTTAACGAATTCTCCCATCCAGTTAGCGTTTCCTTTGATTAAGAGGAAGCTTAGGCACGCGAACTACCTATGTAGGCCATGTAGTGCTCGAAGAATCATTTGTGACTTTGAATCTTCAGCTGAGAGGATTGAGCAAGTTGCGGTATAAGCAGAGAGGTCAATGATGAATTAACCAACACACCCCAAAAACCTAATTTGACTCGAATACATGTTGTGTACATTAAACTTCTCGATCATTACCCAGAACAACATCAATGATTCTGTGGTACAAGTACGAAGCGATGATAGCACGAAACGATGATGATATACGGCAAGTGACACAAACAACAACCAAGCTCAAAAAGAATGTAAAGGTTTCGCTATCGTATTGTTTCGCCACGGGGGCGTCCAAGGAGGAGTGGAGGAGCCGGGGCAGGTACAGTTGCGGAGATTTGGCCTTGGTTTGGCCCCAGAATATTACCCTGGGCAGCTACCAAAAACATTATCGATTTCGTCTGTCTCTAACTCTAGAGACTCACGTGTCGGAATTTCGATGGAGGTAAGCTCCTTGCCAGAAAGATGGTGTGCTAGCCGTAGTTCCTAAAGTGCAAAAATCCAAGATGAGAGCATCCGCAAGGAACACTTCAGAAATAGGGAGATATACCTCGAATGAATGTTTGTTGAATTTGAGAGACGTTGTGATGCTCATGTAGGCATCTGGAGCGTCAGGGCCCACACTGGTACGCGCGAACGCAGTTGCTGCTGAATCATTGGCGTAAAATGGATGGACGACCTGTGTTGACGCGTTGTCCGAAGAGAGTATTTCTGATGGAAGTGGGGTCGGAGGCATGATGTTCCCTGAAAGATATGCATAAAGCCGCAATTCCTGGATTCGATAGGCGGTCGTCAATATTCCTGAGCCGGTGGCTGGAGCAATGAAGAAAAATAGGCCGCGAGTGCGCGATATTATCACTACATACCTCATAGGAGAATAAACTGAAAGTAGGCTGTGCTGTAATGCTCTGGAACTGCCCTTCGATTGGTGTTTTAGTCGCCTGAAATACTTGGATGGTGGGCAAATCACTGGGGTTTGTTATGGCCTTCTCGGCCACAGTGCCTGTAGAGCTGATGCTCGTAGTCGATTCTATTGGAATGGGAGAAAATATCGGTGGTAAGCCGAGTGCATATCTAGCATTTGGGGTATTTGGTAGATCTGGGACTGGTGCTGGTGGTCGACCGGTCGCTGTGTATGCTTTGACGTAGTCCTTCACGCGTATCTCCTGATGATGGTGTAGTATATTGAGTCGAAGCGACGGGTAATTAATATGATGGCAAACCTCAAAGCTTTGCTCTGGTTCGGGCGGCTTCTGGACCGTGGACATGAATATCTCGTAGTCTTTCATGGGTGAAGATGATAAAGCCATAGTTTTAGAAAGACAAAAGCGTGCTACTAGCAGAGCGGATTAGTTGCGAGTGTCTCACCAGGTCGTGCCCTGGAACTACAAGTAATTGGTGTTGATAATTACTCGACAGTGGACACTAGTAGTACTGGCGTGAAGGTGGATGTCATGAGTTTATTATGTAATCCAGATTATCCGATTCACGGCTAAACCAAAGCTTCAGTTGAGCTTCCAAATCATTGAGGTGAGAACGAACTTGTGGCAGCTTAATCTCGCAGCAACACTAAGGACTAGCAGTATACTTGTATCGATGGTACGAGTCTCTTTCTTCAAATCCACAGTATACTTCTTTCAAACATGTGCATGACTCAGTACTCTTGGGGCAGCGACCATCCGGCGAGTCTGGTCGATATAGGTCATTGTTCCCACTTTGTTGATGTATGGGATGTGGACCGAGCCACAACTTCCACACCTCTCAAAGGATAAAATGCGCGAGCGTTGTTTGCTACTCCTGCTTGTGAATTTGCACATCATCCGAACGGTCTCCATCAAATTTCATACACCCTACTCGTCCCAATTCTCGTAATGACGTCAACGAATGATTTGACACCCGCGTTAGATATTCATCCCCCTGTCCAAACACATCGACCACTCAGAGAGCGCTGCTCTATCCGACTCACAGTTCAAACAACATTAAAACATCTCTCTCATGGCCCAGTGGCACGTCACACACCCACTACCCAGGTGGCACCACGCGGAATGCATCCCGAGTGGCATGACTTTATCCACTATGACGCACCGTTGGAATATTTTTCTAGGTGCTATCACCTGCAAGAAATAATGGAGTGTCTGTACGTCGCATCAGCCGACGCACATGAAGTCGACACGCTTTGTGCAGAAGCTGGCGTGCCCTTCAGCCACATCCTGCAAATAGAGCCTGTCGATGACATTGCAGGATCAGGCTCCAGGAGCGAGGAAATGATGGAAGGTGTTTTGAGGACGCAGAAGCTGACACTCAAGTGCCCGAGGCAGGGGAGAAGCCAAGGTTACACAGCGCTCAGCGCCTCTCAGCTCCTTGCAGCACGGGACTACCTTTCTCTAATCATGCCGTATTCGAGCCGCTCCGTTCCAAAGCAGCCTCCGCGCTTCAACGTCCAGCTTACTCGTTGTCGCGCCAGCAGATCGCACAGTTGATGTGATGTCGGTGGTGGTGTGCTATCTTGCGTTTGCTTCCGGGTATCATGCGGAGACCGTGATGCAGTGTATTGGAGAGGAGAAATATGATGAAGTATGGAAGGAGGCGATTTCGCCAGAAGGTGTGGATTTTGTAGAGCGCATAGCGAGGGTCATATAGGGACAGCTATCTGACAGCGTAGGGCGACGGCTAGCAGGACATTGTATTGTATTACGTCTTGACATAGTATTGCACCTGTAGGAAGTACTAAGATATTGATATTGTCAACGGGACTTACACAAATTGATGGGATAGACTCAGACTTGCTCAATGACACCCCTAGGATCCTGCGGACTCATCTGCAGGCCGTAAGTAGCAGTAATGGATGCGACAATTGTGGGTTGGGTACGGGTCATCAATTCATCAATGCATCACAGCTGGTAACTTTCGGTCCGAGTATGCCGTAGACGCTTCGCTTGTGTTTCCCGGCACTTTCCGGCCGAGACTTGTCCCCTAAAACTTTGTCACTGTGCCCACTGCCCACTGCATATACGACGTCATGAGTAGACCGCCAAATCCACCCCTTTCTGAACTGCAAAACCAACTACTTGAACAACACCATCACAGCTACCTTTCGCTAGAACGCTGCGCGGCTGATACACTTTGCAATGGGTAATCGTGTTTCTCGAAGGTCTGTGGTAAGTTCATATACTTGCGTTCAGTGTGAAGAGTAGTCACAGATTACCCTCAATAGAAGAGAAATGACAGTCCAAAGATCCCTTACCGAATGGATTTCGAAAGAAAGCCGCCCTATATTCCTAAAGATGAAGTCAAAAATATTGAGGCGTTCCCCCGTGGAACAGGAGGGCTCGGCGATGTCTGGAAGTGTTTTTGGTGTCGACCATCCGGGACGCGTAAGGTAAGTGCGCGAATAGGCGAGGATTCACCATATCCACGATCTTCAAGGTTGCGGTCAAATCAGTTAGGATTCCTCAAGGCAATGATGAACTGTTGGTGAACAGGGCCAGGAAGGTGCGTACAAGAAGTAACTGGAAGACATTTATTCACGGATTTTGGATTTGCTCGCCCAACAAACAGAAAATTCGTCTTGATTCTTATGTTTGGGTCACTTTGGCACATGACAATATTCTCATCCTTCATGGCATTACCGAGGGCTTCGGGCTACTTCCGGCACTAGTTTCTCCGTGGACGGAAAATGGGTCGCTCGATACCTACCTGAATCAGGGACATATTCTTTCCAAAGCCAACAAACTGAGAATGGTACGCACCGTATCTCGCAAAACAGGACAAGTCCTGATGGGTCTTCAGTTAAGACAGATCGCAGCCGGCCTCGATTACTGTACATCTATATTTTTTCAGTGTTTGGATCAGACGTGCTCATAAACTTGTTAGTGCATGGCAGAGGAGTGGTTCATGGCGATTTGACATCTGTACGTGTGAAAAATTTGCATCTATGATATTTCAGGATGACAACTCGACAATCTACATACAGACCAATGTTCTGATTAACGACGATGTAAAACTCTGTCTTGCATACTTCGGTCTCTCGATGATCCTTATAGAAGCACAAAACTCTCCCTTTGATGACTGCCACCCAGGTCATGTGCGGTGGATGGCACCCGAGATGCTCGCTATACCTGAACAAGGAGGAGTGGTGATGCCCACCAAAGCCGCAGATGTTTACTCATATGGTTGCATCATGCTTCAGGTGTGTAGACTCCCATTCGATTCCATGTAAGTTGTGTTGCTGATATCATGCAGCTGTTGTGCGAACATGTGCCTTATCGCTGGCTAATGCAACCGTTTCATGTTATTGTAGCAAGAGTCTCAAGAATAGAACCCTTCCGTCAAGTCACTGGTGTTAAAGAGGCACACAAGGAGTATTCATTGAAATGTTTATCCGTTAACCCCAAAGATCGACCAATGGCCTTTGAGATCGTGGAGTTCTTCGAATGAGAGTAATGACATTGTATCGGATAAGCTAGTCAAGGACACCATCATGATGTATTCGGACGCATCTGCCAAAAGTTCTGCTGCCATGCAGACTTTTAGAGTTACAATAATCTGTACTTGAGGGATGGTAGTAAGCCTCGCATGGGTGCCAGCTCAAGCTTCAAGTATGGGGCCGTCATCCATCATGATCAATGCTGTCATGCGTCGGAAGTAGAGCGTGTGGCCGTTTCAAGCGGATCGCGAGCTTGCGAGCGTTGACGCGGACGTACGAAACATGGCCTTTGTAAGCCGTCACATGAAGATTCGCATTCGGTGTGCTTCTATCTACTGAATCACACATCACAGTTCTCCCCAGTCAAAAGGTCTCAACTTGAGAATCGGCGCAGCACTTTCTCCTCCTTCTCTGCACGCATCTTCTTTTGCCTGTCACTCTCGTTTTTCCGCACCCACGGACCCTTCGGTCTGCGCACTTTTCGGACTCAACACGCTCCGAAGGTTTGTCTTTGTCGATCCCAAATTCTCCGAGCACAGGCTGCTTTTTTTCGGACTTCGCGGGATCCACGCGCCTCGCCCAGACCCCTGCCTTCCTGCACTGGTCTGGCTTTGCCAGACCTTCCCGAAGACAAGAGTCGGACGCATGTATGCACTGAGGCGCTGGGAGGGTAGTGTCGAGGATGGCGGGTATGACAATAGAGTGCATTTTGGTTGCAACAGTGATGGAGGTGTGGAAGCCTCGTGTCCTGGGCGTCTATGGAAACGAGGCAGGTTGACACGCATAAACGCGCAATACACGCACCTCCGCAACTTAGAGAAAGACACGCATAATCCCTCTAAAGACAACTTCGACTGCGCCCAACGCCATCAACCTCCAGTAAAATGTCGAAGCTCATTCCAATCACTTCACTCCTGCGAGAGTTCAAAGGCCATGAAGGAAACATAATGGGAGCCGCAGTGTTCCCCGATAAACGACGGATGATTACGGGATCGAAGGACAAAATGCTTCGTCTATGGGACTTGAAGACAGGTGTTGTATTGAAGCAAATGGAGGGGCATCGCAGCGAGGTGTGGGGATTGGCGGTATCACGGGATGGGCAATCAATAGCAAGCGGTGATAAAGGCGGAGAGGTCATCATCTGGCACGGAGAAACTGGCGAATTCACTCACTCAACCTATCAAAGCCCACTCCACTTATATCACCTCGCTTGACTTTTCTCCCGATGGAACAGTGCTAGCCACTGGTTCATGGAACCGAATGACGAAACTGTGGAACACCAAAACCTGGGAGCTGCAAGGAGATCCAATAAAATGTGGTTGTTTGGTCGACTGTGTTCGATATTCGCCGTCTGGCGAACTTCTTGCCATCGCGACATACCGTAATAATATCCAAATTTATAATACAGGCACAAGGGAATGTGTCACATCCTTCGAGGCTCACACATCAGACAATTTGTCACTCGCGTGGACGCCCAATGGCACACGCCTTCTCACAGGCGGCAATTTGGACGATCCTACCGTACGCGAATGGGATACAACAACCTGGCAGCAGGTCGGTGATCCCTGGACGGGCCACACTAGCCATATCAATGCCATTGCCATTAATCCTGCTGGTACACTTGTCGCCTCCGCATCTTCTGACGACCACGTCCGTCTCTGGAGGCTCTCAGATCGACGATCCATTTCCATCTTCAAGCACTCATCTTCGACGTTATGTGTTACTTTTTCCGTGGACGGCAACCACATCCTCAGCGGAGGTTGCGACGACATGATCTCAGAGTGGACACCTCAGGGTATTCATCCAAAGGCATGTTTCCGTCTTTGACTCGTATACCACAATTCGAGCATGTTTTGTGCAGATCCTAGCAATCACGACAGCCCGCATTGCATGCATAAATGGAGACTTATCTACTGCCGAAAGACTACTCACGCAAGATATCAACATTGATGCCCAAAACCATACTTCCTACGCTCATCGCTCGTTCGTTATGACTCGAAAACACGACTGGGACCACGCCCTTCAGGATGCAATCAAGGTAAGTTGTATCTACTGGTCCTTACAAAGGCTAACTCGATGGTGACATAGTCCATTAGCATTCAGCCCTCATTGACAGGCTATATCTCCAAAGGCATCGCCCTCTGCGGAAAAGGCCATGTCCGGGATGCGAGGGCAGCATTTGATGTTGCATCCATGTACACTAACCAAGATTCAGAAACCATTCATTTCCTGCTCTTGATCAAGGTATGACATTACGGTTGCCTCGCATACTCTCCGCTTCATCATGCATTTCAGGCTATTGCGCTCTTCAGTGCAGATGAACATGACGAAGCAAACCTGCTCCTCAAAGAACTCACTGCCGGTTGTCCAAATGCCGACACTCGCGCATGTCATATTGTGCAAGTAAGTATCATGCAGCCATGTTTGGTCATCAACACTAACCTTTGCAACCTCACACATTAGGCATATCTGCGTGTTCAACTCGGCATCACAGCCTTGGATGGCACACGTTACGACGAAGCCACCGACCATTTCACTGCCGCTCTCAACTCCAGCAATTTATTATCGAAATCAGATATTCATGAAATTTACGAGGATTTGGTGGTGGTATGTTAAGATGTTGCATACATGATGCATTTCATGGACTGAGTGTCTTTTCCAGCTCTTTGGCTGGGACCTACAGTCCTGTGGCAAAAGGCACACCAGAAACGATGCTATGCACTGCTTCGGGCAGGTAAACTTCAAGATGCCGTGAAATCATACCGGCACATGATGGTTTCGAGTGACGAAAATACCAAGGCCGATTGCCTTGACTGGTCCAATGGCAAGTCTAGAGTTCGTAATGACATGCAGGATACAATTCTCACCTGCATTTCTCTCAGGTTTCGAGCAAGAATGCAGCGCACTCTGCGCTGTCGACGGAGACGCCGCCCTCACCGCGAGCGACTATGACAGGGCTATTAACCTATACTCGGCGGCGATCGACCTGAATCACACATCTGATGTCATCTTTGCAAATCGCAGCAAGGCAAAGTTAGGCAAAATGCTATGGGAGGATGCGCTCCTTGATGCGCAAAAGGTGCGCTGGCGTCTATGTTTCGTAGCCCATGTTGACTTCTGTGATGC